AGTATTTCTGATTTGGATGTTCAGTTGCGTGTAAGAAAGAATTAGAATAGTCATTAGAATTCATTATCGCCCGTAATTGGGAAATCGCCTCGACTACGCGAGGCGGGAAAAATAGGTTAGGTGACTAAAGTTTTAGAAGGAACAATTTATCATGTAACGATATTCGAAGTGAGGTCATCGACCGTAGCAAGCGTAGACATCAAGATAGCAAATCAAAGGGATCTAACGACTCAGGAACACAAATGGCAAGTTTCGAACTCGTTTGTCGCTTCAACTAAGAATGTTGTAAATGGTAATTTATCTCGCAATTATCTCAATCTCAGTTGATTACGATGTAACCACGGACGCCACGAACCGTGTATACTCTAGTGCAAAGATATCCGACAACTTTGATCCCTGGTAGGCTAATCTTCCAACTAAGTAGCATCTTCAACCATAGGAGCGAACCAATTTCTATGTTTTAGCGGGAACAGTTTGCAAGAGCAGTGCACACGATGCGACATTAAAAACTGAGGTCATTTTGTCCCTGTTTTAATGACCCACGAATTCAAACCAGTTGAATTTCAATCAACACGTTACGGGGACAAAATTTTGTCCCAGCTGCAACAAAACTTTTTTTCGAGAAAACGGGTATATCTCACGGTGGACTCTGTTGCTGCAAAATGTCTCCACTTCATGTCCACGGCAAATGTCTCCACTTCATGTCCACGGCAAATATCCCCACCTCGTGTCTCAGCAACATGTTCCCGCTTCGTGTCCCCACAACATGTCCCCAGTTTGTGTCCCTTAAACATGTCCTAGTGTGTGCCAACCTCAAAGCTTTGGTCAATAGGCGTGGATGTGTATTCTGCGGGGAGTAATTGTATAATAAATTACGGATTCTTGACGTTGGCTGACTGATTCATAAATATGACAATTTGCATTACATTTCGTTACCTTTTTAAGGGTTTTTTTTGTTCATTTATTGCTAATAGTTCTCGATTTTTATAAATGTTACGCAGTACAAATCTTGCAACTACGAATCTGATGGTGATCGGGGCAACAACTGATGGAGACGCCTCTGACAAAATAGAAAAAGGAATACTGAAGATGGCGGACTCAAAGGCAATTGGCTTAATCTCTCTAAAGAGTGTTGTTATTTTGGGTGAGTGTTAAAATTGTTGCCCTTTTATTTTCATTTTTCAGACATTGATGTCACTGATTACTCATAACAAAATTCTCGATCGTGATTTGTTCTCCGTACGTATTTGTCACGTAACCTACACGCAAACACGTGGGTGTCAAATTACAGGTAACCAGTCTACAACGTTTTTGTAACTGGAAACTTGTAATTGGATACCTACAACATTTGCACGTCAATCGCGTGCGCCTTAATGGCTTCCTCCTTAATGTTTCCTACAGTTGTTAAAACTTATGGAAACCGCGAGTGGCTTTTTCGCTCAAAAGAAATTCTCAAATGACTTTTCTTAACCTCTTAATTTGTTGTTGATACGATTAATTAGTAATTGGACCTCGTGTCGTACAACTCAGGGAGTAATCGAGCTCGTAATTTGAAATCGGCGTCGGGCTGCGCGCTCGTCCGATTTTGAAATTACCTGCGCGATTGCTCTGTAAATTGAACTACACTTGGTCCAGTTCCTATTACCAATCGCACTTCTTTACCGTGCGCTTGGGCAGCATATCAGCTGAGTTTGGCCGAGCCACGGCGATACCAAACGAACGTGATATGTCGCCGAAGCGCACGGAAACAACCTAGCTATAGATCAGGTATTGACCGTAACCAATTACGACCAAGTGACCAATTGATATCATAAATAAATTGATATCGCAGGATATCAGGACAGTGGGCACCTTTTCTAATGAGCTAATTGCGAATTTGGTTACGGTAATGCGTGTAACTCGATACCGCATCTGAGGCTGGAGAATCTTAAAGACACGGAAATCAATTAAAATAACGAAACTAATGGAATTTGAAACAGTCGCGCCACAGAATTTAACTGAATGAGTATTCAATAGGTAATCGATGACAAGTCAATGGCACCGGCAAGAAATCGATAGATCACGGCAGTTTTGGTTAACGATTAATAAGCGGTTTTCACTGGAGTGCGAAAAGCAATCCGCAATATAATTACGTTTGTCTTGCATTACTACGCTAAACGATCGACTTTCAATCAGAAATTCGACAAAACCAATCACGACTCACTTGCACACGTTTCCCTGCGTTTCACGTAAGCTAGGGGTGTTTTTACTTGGTTCATAGGATTGTGTGTGCCCTTTATTAGCGGCCAGAGTGATAACTTTGGCTCTGGTGTGATAACTCTTGGTGTGATAGCTCATTTGATTGGTTACATTTAGTCACACTGGACGGTCTTCTAAGCTTTTCATTTCCCTCAGAATCTTGTCAGGTAGCCTCAGCTACCAATTCGGTAGATTTCTTGCGTAGAGATTATACTTACTTACTTATGCCTAGTGCCCCTCCTGGGGCATAGGCCACCAACAAGAGTTCTCCAGCTATCTCTGTCCTGGGCTTTCCTTTCTAGCTGACTCCAGGTCAGCCCCAATCTCTTGATGTCTGCTTCCAAGTCTCGTCTCCACGAGTTCCTAGGCCGTCCCCTTTTCCTCTTTCCCTGGGGATTCCAAAACAGGGCTTGTCTTGTGATGTTAATAGAAGGCTTTCGAAGAGTGTGGCCTATCCTTCTCCAACGTCTCATCATGATCTCAGCATCTGCAGGCCTCTGGTTGGTTTTTTCCCATAGGTCTTCGTTGTTGATGGTGATTGGCCAACGTATCCGCAAGATTCTTCGTAGACATAAGTTGATAAAAGTCTGCACCTTCTTTGTAGTTGCCACTGTTGTTCTCTAGGTCTCTGAGTCATATAATAGAACAGGTTTGACGTTGCTGTTAAAGATCCTGATCTTAGTCTGAAGTGTTAGGTCTTTGGAGCTCTAGACGTTCTTTAACTGCAGAAAAACTGCTCTTGCTTCGCCAATTCTGGCTTTAACGTCAGCCTTTGTGCCCCCCCTGGATGTCAACTACACTGCCCAGATAGGTGAAGGAATTCACCTCTTCCAACGAGTCGTCATCTAGCCGAACTGGTTCAGTAGTCGTTGTGTTAATCTTGAGGACCTTGGTTTTTCCCCTGTTGATGTGAAGACCAATTTGGGCAGACGAGTCTTTAACACTGTTGGTCTTCTCCTGCATTTGCCAATGTGTATGGGATAGCAGTGCCAGGTTGTCTGCAAAGTCTAGATCGTCAAGCTGCAACCAAGGTGTCCACTGGATTCCATTTCTCGCCTGTGCTGTGGCTGTTCTCATAATCCAATCAACTGCAAGCAAAAACAAGAATGGCGAAAGTAAGCACCCTTGTCTGACCCCTGTTCTCACGTTGAATGCTTCAGTGGGTTGCCCTCTATCAATGAGTCTGCACGATAATCCCTCATATGAAGATCGGATGATGTTTACAATCTTTACTGGCATCCCATAGTCTCGGAGAAGCTTCCATAGTGTATCTCTGTCCACACCGTCAAATGCTTTTTCAGATTGAGTCCATCGTGTCTCACTGATTCCAAGCAGTGCTAGGTTGTAGGCCCTCATATCTGCTGCAACTTGGAAAGTCGTTCCTGTTGCATACATCGTTCTTACGTTCCAAGTTCCCATCCTTACAGCTCTTTTTCCGAGAAGGGTGTTCGGCCTTGCAGCTTCCAGATTCATCCGGCTTTCACCGCAAAGCGTCATCCTTTTTCTTTGTGATGGTCCTCCTCTCCCAAGAGCTGAGATAACTTGGGTCATTCTTGTATGTGTTTCTGTAGCAAGCAAATGTTTTACGGGGTGAGGTTGCTAGCCTCACGCCCAACCCTCCTCCTTTCTCACCCGGGCTTGGGACCGGCCATGGCGGAGTTGCGTAGAGATTATAGTTCCATATAAACCTGGAGAATGAGTTCTTTCTTGGGCAGATTTGAAACTCGCTGTAGTGTACGGGTGCTCATCAGCTTTCCAACTATTTCAACCTTCTCAAAAAATGTATTTTTGTGGCCTGTTCCAGGTCTTCAATAGTTATTATCTCGCCTCCCTTTTTGCTCGGCCCCCTCGTTTTTTCTCTCGATCACCCTCTTTTTTCCCCAACTATCGAGAGCCTGGAACAGGTTAGAATTTTTATATCCATTAATTCTAAATCTTCCTCCGATAGTGCGGAAAGATGAGATGTAGCCATTTTGTACATGACTTCCAGGCACTGCATTTTCTTGGTTGATGAAGTCGACTCTCGCTAACTCGAACTTCACGCTAACTCGAACCAAAATGGATTTCCCCTGGATTTCCGTCATATTACTGCAATTTTACCCTTCTAACTCGAACCCTCGATAACTCGAGTCTCCCGCTAACTCGAAACAATTTTTGGTTTCCTTCAGGTCATTTTCTATATAGTTTTACCCTCGATGACTTGAACAATGTCTGTCAATACGTGACAAGTCAAAACAAACAGTGTACTGTAGTCCAAAACATTAAATTTATTTTGAAGCAGCCTTGCGAAAAAACCTGTACAGTTAACAGTTCCTGGACTTTTCCTTTGTTATATTTTTTCACATAACGTTACATTCCGATTTGTACAGTAATTCATAAATGTATCGTTTTAATTTCACTTGACTTCTTTATTCTGTAGTTAAATTTGATTAAAATGTACACCGCATGAACAGAAAAACATTAAACATTGTATTTTTACTTGTTTCCGGCCATTTGTTCTCAACTCCCGATAACTCGAACTCCCGATAACTCGAACCTTTTTTTCAATTTCCCTTGAAGGTTCGAGTTATCGTGAGTCGACTGTAGTTTACGATAACTGTGAGCCAATCACGTTGCAGCATTTGCATTAGTGCGTAAGTAGGATTCTATTAATAAGTTCTTTGGTGAGGTAACATTTGTTCTGATTCATTATAGATGTACCACCCCCTCCACCAACGAATCTTCAACATGACGATATACAAGCTACGCATGTCATTGTCACCTGGGCATTGCCACATCACCTTGAAGTGTACGAGGTGAGCGATTACACCGTGGAAACTAAAGATGTGCTAGGCAGCAATGTTGTCTTTCGGACCGAGGTGACCGTGGACGCGCATGTCACTGGAGTGCGGCTGACAGGGCTTCAGCCCGATACTCAATATCAGGTGCGAGTGGTGGCTCATCGAAAAGATTCCCTCAAGACAGGAGAATCAAAACTGTTGGGATTGAAAACCATGAAAGGTGCTTAGATACGATATATTTAACATTATCGAACAAAGCTTTTATGGCTTTAAAAGTAGTAAGTGTTTTTTCCTCGTGACAGGCTTAAAAGACGTATTCTTTAAACTATAGGAGAATCTTTGTTTACAGTATTTGCCTCATTACCATAAGCGATACAGTTTCTGATGGAGCTACAAAGAGCTTAATACTTAATATTGAAAGGGCAGAGCACGATTAACTGTCCCATGGAATTTGAACGCGATGTATTGAATACTTTTTGTGCGACGAGGGTTTAAAAGCTCAAAGAATGTATGAACTCATTAGCGCTTTTGCTACACAGAAATTTTGATGTTTTTGAAAGCCAATTTCTCCTCGAATATTACACCCAAAGAGCCAAAAATGTCACCACTTTTTAAGTTTCACAAGCTCTTTAAGTTTTCCTAGTAAAATCGTGTCTAGCATGATGCCTTCTATGCGCAAAGTCGTATGTTAATGAGGTCAAATGTAAACAATGACGTCAGCAAAGATTCGCCTATTGACAAGACACCGATATGGAAAACATTATTAACGTTTTTGAAGGCGGCGTGCAAGTACTCCAGGTTATCTTGTACGACTACCCATCCCTTTCAACGGTAAAAACCTTAACGACTTCGCGTCTAGTGCTCCTAGGAATAATAAATCAAAAGTTGCGAGGTTGGGAACTAACCCTATACACCTCGGGTAATTATAACTTGCGTTACCTTCGTTGCCTGCACGAGCACTTTGTGGTCTCAGCACACGTCACACAATACGTGTTATTATATGACAGGCTGCTGAACAGCAATGGTTAATGATGCGCTTAGCTAGCTAGCGGAACCCAGATCCACTTCGATCTTCCTTCGCTTCTTGTTAAAATTCTAATCTTGATCAATACATAAATCAGTTTGATCTCACACCAGTTTTCGTTAATCTGACAGATCCTAAAGTTCTTCAGATAATCCTTGTTCTGGTTCTGCCTATTGTTTTGGCCGTTGTGATTGTCGCCGTAATGATTTTCATCAAGTGCCGAACCGAACCGAATCATCCTCCGCCTGAAAAAGATAGGAGATTAACGATGGATGAAGTAAGAATGCTTAGCGTTTTCAATTTACATTAACCTCCCGTAAGCTTGTATTGTAATGGTAAAGTGACACCCATCTCAATACCGACTCGTATCGTGAAGAGTAAGGACTCTATTTGTAGTCTCTGACAAGTATACTGTGTGACGGCAGCCAGTATCCCAGTCTCGTGTCCATGGACAAGACAGTGTGCACTCACGGTGAGTAATCCCCAACGAGGTGTATAGATGGACCGCAGCAAAGTTTGGGGAAATCTGGTGAATCCTTTGCCAGTTAATAAAGCCGACGTCAAAACCAGCCAGCAGCAATGAGAGGCGGCTGTTCTCACAGACTGGTGAATCCTAAACTAATGCTGAGTCGTGATGGTCATGGGCAAAGGGCGAAGAATTGGATGCGATCGTATCAGGGTTGGGCTTAGCTGACTAAATTTCAAATGTCTCTTTATGTCACCTGAATCATACTCAAAATTTCCTTATCAGTTACAAAGGGGACAACGAAGAACCTATGGTCCTCCAACGGGTGATGCGAACATTTACGAACATGGAAGCAATCAGCTTAGAGTAGCTTTGCCACCAACTGATTTTAATCGACAGTGGCCAGAAATCCCCAGGGATTATCTCAAAATTGCTGAGAAGCTTGGTTCTGGCGCTTTCGGTGTCGTCATGAAAGGATACCTAATGCGCAATGACAAGGTCATTGAATGTGCTGTCAAGATGTTGAAAGGTAAGTGAACTTTCTAAACAAACGACAGGCAACTTAAGCAACGAAGGACGGCGACGGCGAGAACGATGCCAAGTTAAGAATGAATTTATATTTTACCAGTGAAATGTGCAGTTGTCTAGATCTGTTCAGTACGCCAATGGTTCTAAAACCGTGCTCAGGTTAACAATTAGTCGTCGTCGTTCATGTCTCTAACACTACGCAGAACGTGGTCATTTCAAGTTCTTGTTTTGCAGAGGACGGCAAAGTAATGTACAAAGATTTCAGCGCAGTGCACAGCTATTGTTTTGCTCATTAAACCTTTTTGTTTAGTGACGTTCTGGTTGCCGTCGTCGTCGTGATTTGCTTAAGCTCCCCATTAATAACAGAGTCTTAAAGTGAACATTTAGCACGGATGAAAGTAAACAGAGACACGACATCAGTGGACAGTTTTAGAGACTCCTCGCTGCAGAAGTCTATTTGAGGCGTGTGCGACTCGAGAAGCAGGCTGAAATTCAGGCTATTCTTGACAATTATTTATAAGTTTAATATTTTCTATTTCTAGAGCACGGCACTGAAAGAGAGCTACGTGACTTGTATAACGAACTCAACACTATGGCCTCAATCGGAAACCATCCTAACGTTGCTAGCTTGATTGGTGCTTGCTCAGAAGATGGTAGGTTGTCACTTTTCTTCGCCACTGGGAAGTATTTCCTGTTCCTATTCGTTTTGTCTTCCATGCATTTGCCATAAATAATTGAAAGCATAGAGAAAGGCTAAAGAGGCGTAAATGGACGAGTCTTCTGTGACAATAAGCATGCACAGCTCAAAAAAAAAAAAAAAAATCATAATAATTAACAAATATTGGACAAGGTTAGGGAAAATATCGTGATTTGTCAGTAGCGAGCAGATCAATTATCTACAGAAGGCGAAGGCTGAGACAAATAATAGATCTGCGAGACACTGGCTGACAAATCACAATATTTTGCGATAACCGCGTTTAAATCACTCTCTGGCAGCTCAGGAAAGCGATCTGCCATTTTTTACCCGTCGTTACAATTACGCATGAGCAGAATATCATTTGGAGCAAAATACGTTTAGAGGGCCATTATATCTAGGCGGTTATTTGCAGATCACGTGGTGAACTCTCGATCAATAAAAAGAAAGAACAAAATGCATCGAATGATAAGATCAATCATGTGACAGTAAGAGCTACTGTAGATTACGTTCACTGTTTGTCTTCATTATTCGCTTACACCTTTATTTTTAGTTTTAAGATTGAGTTGTTATCATTGGATGTTTCTCGCACTATCACTGCGTTTTCTTGTTGCTTTGCCTTTTTTAGGTCCTCTTTGGGTTGTGGTCAAATTTGCTGAGAATGGGTGCTTGTTAGATTATGTCCGCAAGCACACGAAACAGGACTATGGGAATGCGGATTACGTAAACACGAGTAACGTAGAAAACGAGTCGAAAGGAATAACCCAAGTTGAAAAACTACGATTGGCGTACGGCATCGCGAAAGGAATGGATCATCTAGCAAAAATGAAGGCAAGAATGCCTTTCGTTTTGATTTTGTACTGAGACTGAGGTGTACACTCCAAAGAAACCGATTTCCCGCCGTATATAATGACTAACCATCAAGCATTACATTACAAACTCCAATCACAGATTTGCAGGTCTCTTTTACAAGTCTTATTGGCTGGTGGTCACTCTGAAATAATTTGCTCAGATTCCACACCACCAGCACCACCACAAAGACGACGACGACGACGACGACGATATTGACAATATTTGTGCATCACAACATACGATAACGTAAATGAAAGAATAGTAAAGAAAACAAAACAAAACAAAACAAAAGAGGGGAAAAAAAGGAATTTGCAGCGGGGTATGAAAGCCCTTAGCCTGCTAAAGTAAGAATTTACTTTGTAATGAATGATACGCTAGTTAAACTGATCGGGTTTATTGAACAGGCCTCTATGCCAGACATCTCTTTATGTCGGTCTAATTTTAGAGCCGAATTGAGGCTCGGATTATACTACCAGTGTGAACGAAAGCCTATCATCCTAGTTTTGGATCTGCTGTACTGGATCCACTATTGCCCCCTTATATGAACAATCTCACCAGTTTTGCCTTCACTAGTTACACTTTGGATTTTGATTTTTTTGTTTGTTTGTTTTGTTTTGTTTTGCTTTGCAGTGCGTTCATCGTGATTTGGCCTGCAGGAACGTTTTGCTGGGGAAAACCAACATTCCGATGGTGGCAGACTTTGGACTTGCACGTGATATCTACGAAAGCGGCATGTATGAAACTACTTCCGGGGTGAGTACCAACTTTGATGAGGTCTTTTGTTGTCCCTGGAGATTGCCTGAACGTTCCGTGAACGGAGCTATGAATAATGATTGTCCATTACGTTCGAATTTAATTTTGGGGCTAGGCCTTTTGTGTTGTGCCATCTTGCTACAACTAGTACCATGTAGTGGTTTCAGATCTTCAGATTTCCATTATTAAATATTTTACAGGGTCAAACTACAATACACAACAGTAAAAATGTAAATGAAAATGTAAATGTAAATGAAAATGAAAATTTAAAATATATAGACTCACCGATAATACCAAATTGAGACATGTTCAGTAACCGAACTAGCCATTAGGTTCCGCGTTGGTCACTAACACATGAAATTGATGGGGAAAAAAAATATACAACTTAAGATAAAAACTACAGTTACTCGAGTTTCACGCTTAAGGCGATCCATCCGACTGTGCACTTAGCGACGGTTGAAATAAAATTTAAACTGATTCATGGAGGGCGTGTGGAACGATCTTGTTTCTGATTGGCTGCATAGAACTTATTTAGTGCCTGCATTTTGTTACAAGTTCAGATCTTTTTGCTTAGAAGCGTAGATCTGTCCGCGTATAGAATGCAGAGTTTTTCCTGTCAGACACAAATTGCAGCGTGACAGGATTCCCTTCTACGGACTTGCTCGCGTGACAATAGACCACTTGATCGAGAAATCAGTGTTATTTCTAACGTACACCGAGCAAAATCCTGTTTCACTTACAATAAATGCTCAAAACTTGACTGGAAATCGTTTGCTGAAATTTTGTACCTATTGCGTCACGCATCATACTGCATTACCTGCGGGTTAACTTAATTTTCAGGGTAAGCTGCCGGTCAGGTGGATGGCTCTGGAATCATTGGAAGATTACTCCTATACCTCGGAAAGTGACGTGTGAGTATTCCAGAAAAAGTTGTCTTCAGTATTTTACAGATTCGAGTCGTGTTGCAAGGACGCAGAAACATCTTTAGGGTTAGAATTTAGCTCTTATTAACCGAGCAGGAGGTCTGGGAGAATCTTGACCGAGGTCATTGGTACGGACCGAACGCAGTGAGGTCTGTACACACGACCGAGGTCAGGATTGTCCCATACAGATCGACTAAGCTCGGTTAATAAAATGTTTAATATTTGACAAACAAGAACAATTTAATTCCTTTAATGTATAACTGTGGCTTATACTAGCTGACTGATTTTGCTTGCGAACGGCGATGAGCTGAACTTAAGTCTGCCAAAGTTTGCTCGTTCTCTTTACTTTTTTTTTTTTCTCGTCAGGCTTTTTGGCACTTCCACAAATATTTTTAGAAGAAAATAATCAATATTCTTGTATTTTAGTTTGCAACTTTTTTACCGCAAAATGTAACCGGTCTAGATGGGAAAATCTAGACCGCAGACAATATCGATTTCAGCCAATCAAATTCATGAATTCAGTAGTTCCCAGTCCGTGTGAGGCACAACCATATAATAAAATGGAGTACAAGTTGCAAGTAGTTTTTACAAATTAAGCTCTTACTAGCTCAGAGCTTCGAGCACTCTCTGCTCCTTTATTTGCACAAATAAAATGGGCAATTTGGACGTTTTTTTGTCAACTCATTTCAAAAAGCTTAACTTATGTTTTATTATCATAACCAAACGTTGCCTCCCATGTTTGTCAGTTTCTATGCAACAAATAGTTTTTTTCTTGCCATGACCGACAGTATACGAGTAGCTCAACCAATCAGACTACAGCATTTGCATTAGTATACTAGTAGAATTCTACTAATAGGTAATTTGTACGGTTATTGTAAATTCATCTCGCGGTTGATAATTTTATTTCCTCCCTTTATTTGTGTAATTGTCAATACATCACTGCTGAAAGGATAAATTATATAAATCATACAATCACTCTTTAACGACACTCTTCACGTTTAGGAAAACCCTAGTGAATAGTGTGTAGTCAAAAAACACTTCCTTTCTTCATTACAGTTGGTCATATGGCGTTGTTTTGTGGGAGATAGAAACCGGAGGTGAGACTTCTTGCTTTCAAAGCTGTCTTATTTACATGTATGTTTAGATTTCCTATCACAACTTCCTCTCTTAAACCCGTTTCTCGGTGAGAATTAGAAGGTCGACCTTTGCTTATACCGTATGTACTTTAGGGAAAGGGCAAATACCAAATATTGTTATCTAAGTATCACGCTTACTGTAAAGTGTCCTAACAAACGACACTAGTGATCAATCCTGCTGTGTATCTTACTTGTGCTCATGCCAGCTCTACCTTTGTCAGTCTTAAGATGAGGGATTTTTTATTATTATTATTATTATTATTATTATTATTATTATTATTAAAAACCACGTGTCTCAGGCGGACGTCAATAGGAAAACTGTGCTTTAGTTGACACCATGTCAGGAAGATAAATTTATTAGAATCACTAAGGCGAAGCAATCTTTCTCATTTTGACTGAACATGGGAATGTTAGCGCTGTTCGTCCTTCTCGAAGTCATCTTCTTCCGTTTTACTTCACTGAAATGTTTTTACTCGTTCTTTTTCATCCTCAGGGCAAGTACCATATGCTGCTCTGGGAGGACAGGAAGTGGTTAAGACATTAAAAAATGGCGAACGATTACAGAAGCCAGAAGGATGCAGCGATGAAAAGTGCGTTAAGAATTTTTTGTTTTATCCTGACTGTCTTTTACGTACCTTTTTCCAATTCTAGCTGACTTAGAGTGCCTGCCTCCTCTCTGATGTTCAAATAGGTACCAGGAAATTTAATGCCGGGGTTAACCCTACGTTGTATTGGTATCCCATTCGAAGGAAAGCAGTGGGGGAGAAATACTCCTAGTCACTTTATGGTACAACAACAACAACAAACAACAAAACCTTTATTAACGTGTCTGGGGTATTTAACGTTGCTGCTAATTGGGGACACACACAAAAAATAAATTATGAATTTAAAAAAGAAATAAGTATATATTAATAACTACTTAATTACCGAGAGTGAGGTCGTTATGGGAAAATCTCAAACTGAGGCCTTGCCCTATTGACCGAGCGATAGCGAGGTCAATACGGTAGGCCGAGGTTTGGGATTTTCCCGTAACGACCGAACGGTCGAGGTTATTNGCAAGCCTGCATTGAATTAATATTGCCTTTGTTAATTATTTACAATTATGTGAACTTCTCTTTTGTTTGTATCTTGAAGGAGACATTGTGACCTTATGGTCTTTACACTGACCAGAGTCACTGTGTTGTATTCTTGGTCTAAAAACTTACAGCTACTGTACATCTAATCCTTGCATTGCCACTCTCCACCCAGGATTTTAATGCAGCTTTTGTATATTTGACAGTGTCTTTCTGTGCTGTGAAACAGAAACTTCTGTGATGCTAAATTATGTATTTATACATGTAATGTTCTCCATTTAGGGCGACACAGACGTATTGGTTTTAACAAGTGGTATTTTGACCATCACTACTCTATTACCTCTTGTTCCTGCCTCCATTGGTCATTGTTTACAAGACTTGTTTGACATATTCTCCAGACTGTCCGCTTTCAGAGCTCGTCGGTCAGGTATTATACATTTACATCAAACTGACTGACTGTCTATTTTTCCGGGAATAAAACTTACATTGTATGTTGTACATTATTAGACACTAAAACTTGAATGATTGTTAAATAGAACTTACCAATGGTTTTGCGGATAATAAAGAAATAAAATGCCTGCTTGTTACTTTTTGAAATTTTTGAGGTAACCAGCATTTAAATACCTCCTGGGCACAAATTTTCATAGTATGCTCTGGTTTTAATTAATGTTTAGATAAAGCCCTAGTAATAATGAATACTGTACACTGTACATACAATGTAGTTCGTTTTAAACAATAATTAAAATCAGTGAGCAAATTGTCAAAATTGTTACAGAGGTTTCAATAATAGCCAGGTAGCGGGTAGATCTACCCACTTGTAATGAGCAGACTACCCGCTAAGATAATTTCCTTGCAGCTAAGGATTCTCTTCAAGACATTTGGCAAAATAAGTCTAATGTTATAGGTAAAGAAAAAGAAAGGTACNGGCTTGTAGCACTATGCAACATGTACAGTACACATTGTAATCATGTTTAAAGTTAATCTGATTCAGTGGGTTTATTTTTGTGTCAAAACTCCAAATTGAATCATTCTTTTGGAGTCTCCTCAACTTTGGGTAAATACTGCAAGAGTGAACTTGTTTGATATTTTTCAGCCTATGATGGAGCATGTGCGATTTCACCCATGTTTTGTCACTGAAACAGTGCATTCTGAAACAGAAAAACACAGGTCAGTCAGTTGGCTCATTACTCAGTACAGTACAGTTGATGTATGATTGTCAGATGATCTTGGGGTGTTGCAATTAATCTTGGATGAATTTGTGACTGGTTATTAGGAATGAACAAAATTTATTTAATTCTTAATTTATTTAACCCTTTCATTTACATGAGTGCCCAGGTTGAGAATCAACTTTGATCCTGGAGAAGCAGACGATGAGATTATCATTGACAACATTGTACTTATGTGTCTCTAATATAACAAGAACTGACTATTATTCATTTATACTTGTGCAGTGTATGACAATCAGCTTGTAATAGGCTAATCTGGATATGTTCAAATTCTAACTCAGCTCTGAGGCTTAGGGGAATAAAACAATGAAATCACTTCAAGGTTGAGGGATGAATGAATGTCCTTTGTTTTTCCCCCTAAGCCTTGGAGCCAAGTTAGAATTTTAATATATCAAAATTAGCATATTAGAACATTATTTTTAAAGTGTACTTAGTTGTATGCATTACATGTATTTAAAATAAGTTTATGCCTGACAATGTTGGACCTTAGCTGCTATACTGTACATGTAAAAGCAGACCTCTGTAGATGTGAACTGTTGTGGTCAGTATGCACTTTTCCTGACTGCATTACTTGCAACTGTATTAAACTTCAGATGGAGAAAGAAAGAACCTCATGACATTGTAATAGAGTGCAAGAAGTTATCTCTGGATCCGATTGATAGAATACAGGAGAAAGGAGGCTTTATGTCCTCTTGGACATCAAAGCAGAATTGCCAGGACCTTTTTGCTGACAAATCTATTAGCTCCATACTCACAGGATCATGTGATAGTCAGGGACCTGAAATTAGCAGGTCAAAAGAACGTCGAATGTCTGATTCAGCAACACAGACTGGTAAATCTTTACAAAGTGGAGACAGTGGCACTGATTCATGCAGCTTGCCAGTCATGTCGTCTGATGAGAGCACAGCAGACTGGAGTCCTTCAGTTGTGTGTGGGCTCAGCACCCCACCATCATCCCAGATGTCACCCTCAACAAGCAACCCTGATCTGCTGCTGGCTTGTAATACTCAGTCTCACTGTAGCACACCTGCTGCAGTGTACACCCCAGGGCAGTCCCCAACAACATCACTTGGGGATGATGTAGCCAGCTATCATCATGGATACTCAAGCTCCCCCTCAATTACTGGGAGTAGAGGGAAGACTGGTGCATCAGAATGGATGCATAGAAGTCATGAGGGACAGTTGTCAAGAGCTTTGTATTCTGTGCTAGCTCAGCACAGTTCTGCATCTGCCCCTGCAGCAATCAGGGGTCATCAAACATCAACACCCAAAGAACCTGTAAAATGCGAGAATGACAAAAATGAGGGTATGCCACTTCATGATGGATGTAACTCACTGACCTCCCCATCCAGCAGTGAACTGAGTACGTTTGAAATTAAAGATGAACAAACTAAGGAAAATTTTACAGGAACTAGTGAAGAACAATTTGATAGCAGTAATTTGAATGTTTCACCCAAGGAGGAATATAGAGACTTCAGCAGGCAAGAAAGTCTTGTTTCAGAAAGCAATGAACTCAAGTCATTTGAATCACACAAGGATGTAATCAGTTCAGATTTTTTGTCAGATTCTTTGACGCCTGTCGGTTGTCAGTCACTCAAGTCAGTAGATGCAGTGACATTATCCAACACACCCAGTGATTCTATGAACGGATCTTCCAATGTTTGTATGTCTACAGAAGTTCAGGAATCAGGCATACATGTATCTCAGCCATGTTATGATTCTGATAGCTCATTGCTGAGTAAAGAACACCATGAGCAACCAAGCGGTGCTGAGTTAGAAAACAAGTTGCAGGAGGTGAACAACAGTGAAACTAGCATAGCATCCGACGAGGCTTTAACAGACGTTTCAAAATTTCACAGCACTACTTCTGCTGTTCACCGGAACCACTATCCAGCTCATACATGTGACTTGCTCACAGCTTTTCCTCAGCTGTTACCTTTATTTCAGAGTGAGCAGGAGCACAGTGGACACAGTTCTATGGCTGATGGCGATGATGTAACGTCATCAAGACTTCAGCAGCAGTTGTGTGGAGCTAGCCCAGTGGAAATTCTTGATAATTACTTGAAGATAGGGAATAGTGTGCACTGTGGTCAGCTTTCAAGGTAAGTTAGATTCAGGGTTTTCAATAAGGTTTGAAATAGCCGTCTGAGCTAAGTAAAGTAGGCAGCAAACTGATGAATCTTTTTAATAATTTGAGTGAAAATACAGACAGAGTAGGCAGCGGTAAGAGGTAAATTCTGACAAAGTAGGCGGCGATTTTCGTCAGTTGCTGGCTTCTAATGAAACCCCTGTAGATTATGGATGTTTCTTCAAGCAATTATTTTGTGCTTTGTTTTCAATCTGGTTATGCTTTATACAATGCACTCCTATAGATGATTCTCATATTGGAACTGTAAGTTAAGCAAAACATGCAATGCACCTTCAGTATTTACAGGCATTAATGAATATGAAAAACAAAATTTAAAGTTCTAACATCCGGTAAAATGGATTTAAACTACTACTACATTCATGTATGCATGTACTGTACACATGTAGAATATTCTTGATTGCTTCTAAAACCACAAGGAACAGGAGTCACAGGTGAACAAGATTAGTGCCACTAAAACGTTTTGTTTAAATAATGACTAACAGAAAGATGTAAATAACTTACAAGTCAATCTTTTAAAAGCCTGACTCGTAAGTTATTTACGTCTTTCTGCTATTGTTTCTAGGGCTTTCCTGGCTCAAATACATGTAGTTTCTATTCCAATTAATCACTTCTTAGGAAGTTTTGTTCCTTTTTTTCTTAAAAAATGTTGCTAAATAAATACTTGTGATAGTATATGGTTTATATAGATAGGGGTGAATGTTCTCAATTTTCTGTTTCAATCATCTACCCACCCGTAAGTACTGTGTGCTTTGTACCTTGGTACGTCATTAACATTTAACTGAGTTACTGAGTTACTGTGTATGTGACGTGGCATTGACTTGTGATGTTCTCATTCAATTATCAGGATTCCTCTGGTCAGTCAAGCTGGGACAGTGTGGACACATTTTGGAGGTATAATCTGCCCTGTTTTCCTAAGGCGGTAACCCTTTACTCCCTAAGAGTGCCATTTGGCACATAACGTCATAACTTTGTGGACATTTGAGAGATTTCTATTAATTTTTGCCACGGAAATGGTCTTGTAAAGATTTGCTCATTGAAAACATACATGTAAAATTGTGACCCCCTCCAGCTATCTAAGATATGGTTGGCCACCCCCACTATTTTCCAATTTCTTTTTTGAGATGCACATGGAATGCAAGACTTACAGTTTCTCATCAAGCTGTGTACTATGACCTGCAAAATAAGCTATTGTTCAGGGGTATACCTATAATATTTGAGTCAAATTGATATGTGTTGAAAGATTTTCAGTTTCACATTTTAAAACAACTTCTCAAAAAAAAAAAACTACATGTACCTCTTTCATAGCTGCTGATGTCAGTTCTTAAATAAGCCGATCAGTGGCTTTCAAATGGTACATTGTACACAGGCAGAGAGTCTTGATTTGCTGATTTAGGAAAAACTGCTGTTTCATTGAATCTGTACACTGTACCTTCACATCTTTTGTTTATTTTTTTTATCTTTTTCAATGCAGAAATTTTCTTTGATTTGTTAGGTGACCCCCCTGTGGATGAAGTGGAAATTCTGAGAGGACAAGTCAAACTGCTTCATAATCAACTCCTGTTTGAACGACACAAGTGTGATCTGCATGCTATCCGTAACAGAAGACTTATAGGCAAGACATTTAAGGCTGCACAATACCATGAAGAACTTCTGGCCACTGTAAGTCAATGATTGAAGGCTACATGTAATTTCTCTTTGCAAGATCAAGACACTTTTATAAGACTAGTGGGGAGAAGAAAGAAAATCATCAGCCAGGGGATGTCATGGTTGTGATTCTACATGTATGATGTTGCCCTTTATTATTCTAAATACTTACTTGTAGCTACATGTAACTGTACACAACATGCACTTTCAGAAGTTTGTTAATTAAAAGGCATTCATCATCATGGATTACATGTAGACTGTTCCTAAGCTTGGTTTGCTTGTTTCTGTGTAAGAAATGACTCATTCAACTCTGTGTTATATTAAACTGCTCCAAAATCAGGAGAGAGTTTTTATTTAGTTTCTTATCAATAGCAATGCATTACATGATTTTTATTTGCTTATCTTTTGTTACAATGTAGAAAGATCAATTGAGACTACAAGAAGATAAAATGAGGGAACTGACCGATGCACTCAATACACAAGTAGAAGAAAACAGGTTTGGCAATGAGAAGTGTTAATAAGTCTGTACAAATTCCTCTCTTATTTCTGGTTGGTGGAGGTTTACCACTTGGCTATTGACATGCACATAGCATTGCTAACAAGTTTACGTCGGAATGGCTCAGAGCACATCCAGTTAATGGCACTCGTGCAGGATGGAGTATTTGCACCAGGGATCTCCAGGTTTCAATTCCAGCACCCTGAACCACACAACCACTCTTCCTCTTGCAAGTAATAAATTATTTATTCAAGAGAAACATTTTAAATTTATTGTACATGCTGATGAAGATGCAAAGTAAACCCCACTTTAATGGAACATAGGGTTGAATTTTGTACATGTATGAATCATGTCTAAAGATGTGTTTTTGCACTAAAGGAAATTTAAAGAAAATTCCTCTAGTTGGGATCACCAGCAAAGGTTGCAACTGAGGTGAGATATTCTTGTATTACATTTGTTTTGTGTATTGGCTCCAACAAATTGTTAGATTACATATGGAAGCTTTTAACAGCTTCTGGAGGAGCAATACCCAATGAGTGTGTCAGTTGAGCATGTCGGTGTAAGGAGCTACAGGTACTGTACCAGTCTAATTCTTGAATACTGAGTAAATCACTCAATATAAATAGTTTTTAACTCTGATCATATTTTTCTTGGTGTTCAGGGATTTGTTGAATGAAAATTCTCAACTGAAATATGCTCAAGAGGAGCTCCTTGACAAGCTTAAAGCTCAGCAAGAAGAGTTTGATACAAAACAGTCAGTAAGTAGTGCACAACGTAAATAGAAATGTTTCAGTTTTGAACGTGTGCAACTAGTACTGTATGTCATGCTAAGCTACACAGTATGCCACTAGTATATGTACTGTAGTTCACGGTGGAGGGTAGGATGACTCATCTCCATTTTTGAGCTGAAGGTTAAGAAGTTCAGTTAGAATATTTTTATGGTTCTCAGACATGATGTGACAGAAACGGTTGACACTGCAAGTTTGTTAGCCTGCTCATGAACACAGCCTTTTGAGCTGACTTCCTGTTGTATTCTTTATTCTTACTTATAGTCTTATTGTATTCTTATTGTATTCTTATTGTATTCTTGCAAGCATCAAGTTGACACTGGCTTACTTTACACATGGAAGTGATGTGTTTTGCAAAAATAATGTTAAAATTGATGATCTTTTGATTAAATTATAGGAGGTTAACCAGGTGAAAGCAAAAGTGTTCACATTAGAAAATGAGCTGGATCGACTCAAAGTGGAAGTATCAGAAAAAGACCAATTATCAGAGCAGGTACCTTGTAAACTTTTATATTCATCTTCTGGTTCATTTGTAATTTCCTCTTACACATTTTGTAAGGGATTCAAGAAGGTGTACACCCAGCAAGACAGAGATTCCCTAGTTCTCTTTCTGCTTGATGAGAGACAAGAGGGAACCTAGGGCTTTCTTGCAGAGTACAAGGTGCCTAACAAGACTTGGAACTTTATCACAGACTTCCAAAATATAAAAGTCTTATCTTTGTTCTGTATTCAGGTGAATCACCTTGTCAAGGAACTTCTAATTATGGGGGAATTAAACCAACAACAAAAAGATGTAATTCAAAAACTTGCTCTGGCTGAGGGACAGAATCCTGAGAGCAATCTGCAGTTACATGGTTGTCACAGAGAACTGGCAGGTACAGGGCAGTATTGGTACAGAGAATTTACAGTACTGTGTGCATGTTTACAGTTAGTGTTGTTGTAAAACCACTTTCATTTCTTCCGTGTGATAGCCCCGTAACTTGAATGATTTAATCACTTTTTCGTTACTGATAAATTGTTGCTCTAGCAAGTCATTGATGAAAATAAACAAAATCATCAACCCTGAAATTGAATAGCTATTCACCTCTCCACTTTCGTTGATAAAGTGTTAAGCAAATACAGAATAGAACATCTTTCTCAATGATTAAGTAGGAAAAAACACCCCTCCTCCAAAGCATTATAAGTGACATGCACTTGTATACACACGTATTTCACTTAAATATTATAATTGGCACTAGTAACAATGTAAATACTGTACTTGTAAACACATATTATATTATATTATATTATATTATATTATATTATATTATATTATATTATATTATATTATATTATATTGTATTATATTACTTATATATTATAATTAGCACTTGTAATAATGTAAATGCTGCTCTTGTAACAATGTCAATACTGTACCTGTAAGCACATGCAGATTATTAAATTAAATTTAAAAAAAATCAACCCTGAAATTCTCATTAATAACACTGTATTGCAATCTGGAAGGAGAATAAGGTTGACAGTAGGAACTTTTGGTTAAATCTCAACTGGCGTGGCACAAAAAGGATGAGTCTGTAAGAGTCATAATATTAAAAAATGAGTATGTCTGTGTGTATTCTTTTTTCCCAGTTGCAAAGCAAACAGTGAAAAGGCAGAAAGCTGAACTAGAGGCCATAACGTCCAAACTTGCAGACATGGAGACACTTGTTTCTAGCAAGGTATAGCAGTTTTTGTTTGAATTTACATTTATATTTTTTTGTCAGGCATTAGAAAAACTTGGGGGTCCTACTGACGTGTTTTGAGCCTAAATGCTGCTTAGTTGTAGACATTCAAGAGAGCTTCTGGCAAATAGAAAATTGCAAATGTCAAATGTAGATGTAGAATTTTGGATTGGACTCAACGCTCCTGCTTGCACACATTTTTATGGACTTACAGCTGTACTCAATACTGGGTTCCCTATGTACATGTTAACACATGTAAAAGTCTATCATGGAAACACTTATTACTACTAAGTAAATAAATAAATACAATTCTTAAGTTCTAAGGCCAAAGGAAATTTTAATCTTCAGCTTACATGTAGAAAAGTTGAATCAGTTCACTATTTTTAATTGTGTAGCGTGTACTTGAAATGTTTGCCCTAACTTTTCACATGCCTGAGAGTCTTGACTGGACAAGTCCGGAAGTCACTAAAAATTGCCGTTGTTTCAAGGCATGACGGCTGCTTAGTACCACAGCTGTAGCGGTCATCTGAAGTGCTGGGTAGACAAAAAGAAGTGAAAGAACTTAAGGACACTAACATGGATTACTTTGTGGTAAAAAATATGATTTGATCGCTTAAAATGTTGCAGGATATGGAACTGAGAGAACTCAAGAAATTCACTGAAGGACTGAAAGGAACTTACCTTGGCAAGATACAGGTGATGTGCAGGAAATACGCACAGTGCATTACTTCATGGGTGATGCTCTAAGTTACATTCTTTTGTGAGGATAATGGACCAGAAGGCATGTGTACAGCTTGCCAGATGGATTAATAATGCTATTTGACTAAAATAAAATTAAATAAAAAATAAATAAGGAAAATAAATCACTGTCTTTAAGTGTCAGTGTTAAGCACTGCTGTGCTGATTCACGACATTACCCTGATGTAAATCAAGAAACAAATATTCTAAGTACTGTAGAACTGAAAACGTGTTAAAAATCCCAACTGGATGGAGGTTGGCACACCGCGGCTGGCCAGTTGGCTATTAACAAGGTGTTGAAGTGTTGAATTCCTGACCACCAAACACAAATCCATTTAGCAGTAGTGAGAAGAATTTGAAACTGGGACCACCAGATCACTAATCCAGTGCCCTAACCACTAGGCCACGCCACCTCGACATTGTCTGTGTGGTCTAGTGCCAGAGATCTCACAAGTTCCATTGGAGTTAACGTAGAGGTCACTCGTGAATTTTGTACATGTTTTATGAAAGATTTGCCACACCTGCAAGCGCAAGCGCTGTTGTTTTTTCTCTAACTTCTTTTGCTGTTTGTACTTATTGTATTTGTACTTAAATGGTGGTCTAAAAATATATACTTCTTTTTATTTTCTCTAGAGCCTTGAAGAAAAATATAATGCCCAAAAGAAGATAACTCAATCCATAGAGTCTTATATCCTTGATCTGCAGTCATCCGTGGACAGTGAAAAAGAGAAAATGGAGCACTACTCTTAGAACATATTTAAATAATATAGTTTAATGTAATCTGCATCATCCTAAAATTATTTATCTGTATTGAAGTACATTCCACAACAGGCTTCTGTTTGTTGGTAAAGCTTACTAACCAGATGTAATATGTACAGTGTAGCTAGTTTATTCCTTAATTCTGTGGTCACTCACGGAAACCTTCTCAGTCTGGCCTACTTGAATCCATAGTTTCTTCTAATAAGCAATTCTAAAATTATGGTGTAGACCCTTTGCATAAATTTCTGCCACCTCTCCTCGGGACCAGTTTTCCAAAATACCAAAAGTTTCCAAGTAAATCACTATATTTGGAACCTCTTGTAAGTGACCACCTCTCGTAAGCGACCGCGACCACTTTTAGAGCTAAAAGTTATAAAATATCTTTTGTTTTTACCTCCCGTAAGTGACCACTTGATAGATAATAGAGGGAAAATTGGATAATAAGGTGTTGCAACATTATCGCACTCCTGAGTAGTGCAAGAGACGGAAATTTCTCAATGGGAAATACCGGATTTTTTCTCGAAATTGACTTTTCACATGAATGAAACAGTTAAAACATGGGGTAAGCCTCTGCAGTTACCATATGCTAATGAGGCGAATTTTGACCCAATATGGTCTAAATTCTCGTAAGCGACCACCT